AATGGGAAGACAACAGATCTGCAGACATTTGTGTAGGAGCACCCTGTCTTTTATGTGCATAGCACAGCCATGTAAGAGACACACAAGGTGACCAAGAGTACCCTTCTCTTTTGAGTCTCTCTTCTTACAAAAAAATAATTAATATTGTGTCTTGTAAAATCCAATGACTTTAAACAGCATTGTAAGTAGTGGAACCACACGGTTACCTGAATCTTCACTATAAGCAACAGGTTTATCTTGAGATGTTTCAGTTTGTATCTGGTGCTGTAAATCACACATTCTAGTTGTAGGTACTGTGATACAAGCCTGCTGGAATTTTATAAGCACAGGATGTACAGTGTGGTTTAACCGCGTGTCTAGGAAAGAAAATAAACAGGCAGTTGCCCACAGAACATACCTTACATCTGAACTGTGGTGCACATGCCAACAAAAGTTATCGCTTAAGCTGCTAGCTGGGCAGCTTGATGTCACAAGTGCCTCTGCTGTTTGAAATGGATGCTGTTGTTCAGCATAGCTCAGAGGATTTGCAATGTTGTCTTGAGGATGATAGGAAAAAAGGATGGGCTAGTTAGCAGTCTGCAGCAGGAGTACTGTTCAGTAGTTTTTGCTTCTGTGTCATTACCTCAGAGAGGACGGTAGCGCAAAAAGAAGGTCTGAATCTGTATTTTAATGCTGGTTGAGGTATAGGTATGCCTTAATAAGGTAGTTCCCAAAAGGTACAGTCAGGCTTGAGCCTCACTGGTGTTGCCTTGCAAACAAGTACAGTCCCTTCACAGAGCATTTTTATAATGTAAAGGCAAGATGCAATAAGTGAGTATAGCAAACAATAGGAAGGAAGAGGAGGAGGGAAGATGAGGTTAACAGTAATAACATCATGTGGTTATGTAGGTTAGCAGTGTGAACAGGTTAATGACTGACTTCTGTAACCTCTTATTTTTAAATACTTTTCTAAAACACACTGTTAAGACAATTTGCACTGCGTTAAATTTTTGCTCCTCACCCTACCCCATAAAAGTATCTGTACTTATTTTCCATTAGCTGAAGGTCTTTTTCTGTTTGTGCATAAAGTATCCTGCATCTCTCTTAGTTTTACTGGGCTTTTCAAAGAGCCTGTCTCTGAACCTCTTGCACTGTGCTCCTCCTCTTATGCACGTTGCCTGCCCACCAGTTACATGTGGCACTGTGTTACTCCCTTAGCCTTGCTCTCCACACGCAGCTGTACTCTGTAGCAGTGGGTTGTGCCCACCCCATCCTCAGGGTGCCTCTGCCGGTGCCACCAGACTTCAGTGAATCTGTGAATCATCTGGAGAGTAGAATGTTGGCAGAGTTGGCAGATCCTGCCCACTACCACCAGGCACCTCCAGCCCTGCATTCACAGGCACAGGCACCAGCAGAGCGGAGGCTCACCAGAGCACACCTTGGTGCTGCCAGAAGCATGACTCTTGTGCTGCCCTGACCTTGTGCCGTGTTCAGTGTGTGTACCCACCAAACCAGTTCTGAGATTAAACCAAGATTACAGAGTCATTACTGACAGGGAGTGCAGCAAGAGAAACTGTAAAAATCTCCCTGCTTCCAAAATAAAGCTTTTCAGTCTGTCTGCTCCTGGTAGGACTGACTCTGAGCAGTGTTTGCCAAGGGACATTAGTTGCATCCCACTGACATCAAGAGGACAGGAAAGATTTAACTAGTCAGACTATGAATTATCACAAATAATGAACAAAGCAAAAGGAAGATTCAGAGATTAGGCTATGGCTCCAGATGTTTTATTTTGCAATGCTACAATTCTGAATCAATATGAAAACATGTCTTTGTGCAGAAAAACTTTTTAACCAGAGGTTCTGTTGCAGTTCTATTATTTTCATGACATATATTAGCTTACCATCTAAACTGCCAGAGACATCTTACACCCAAGACTGTAATTCAGTGACTGATTTTTTTTTAGCTAGTCTGCTCTCCCCTTCATGAGGCTCTTTGAGAAAATGTATGCTGACATGCTTCACCTTTACCTGCAGGTAAATTGTGTTTTTGGAAAAGCCCTCAAGGAATGAAATTCATTTTGTTTGACAAAACATGAGAGAAACCCACACTCTTGATTATACACATTTTTCTGCTGGATACAGCGCTTAAGGGAATTTCAGACTAACTCTAACAAGGTCCAAAAAGAGCTCAGTGGCCTACTCTAAAAGAAAACGACAAACTGCACAGAACCCCTTGATAAAACCATCACTAAAAATCTATTTGACATTATAAACCTTTTACTATGTTCTAAGAAAGTCTACGTCCCAGTCATAACCACACGCTATGTCAAATGGGAGGAAGCATAGACAGAAATCTTAACCTGTAATTTTGCATAGAAATATGTGCACACAGGAATTTTCCTAGTTATGGCAAGAGAGGAGTTAGGAAACTAATTGCTTCACAATGAGTATAAAGCTAGGTACTGCATAAACTATTTGGAGAATTTAGTGATGGCTAAGTCTTGTGCTGGTCCTGTGTGAAGAAGTTAAACTATTTTTGTCTGTTCAGTGGCTTACAGAGACTGTCCATGGCCTCAGGCTGTGAAGATAATACTTGTTTTGGGGCTGTTTCTTTATATAAAACATTGAGGAAGTTATGCATTCCTGAAACACAGTATTTTTTTAAAACAGTCTGAAGGCATGGTCAAAGAACACATAATCCTAAAAAATAATCTTGTAATACTGCCATGTTGGTATCTATTTGGATGACTTCTTTTGTCCAGAACAGTTGCACAAATTCTAGTTGTTGTGGACTTAGTCTAACTCTCATTTTGAACCTCTGCTGTTCTGTAGCTCATTTCCATAATACTCACCTGAAAAAAAGAAAGACTATTTCAGGCAGAAATTGATGAAAATAAATTCCTACAAATCGCCTAAGAATATTTCATTGCTCAGATCCAGGGTGGCTGACACTTGTGAATAAAATAATCTTTTGAATTTTTTCCTTTTAGGGCATTACACGTGACCTTTTAATGTCACTAAAGTTCATTAGTGCTTGGATGAGCTTTGTATAAATGAATGGTTGAACAGATAAGTTATAACTAAGGTAATGAGCTTATAGATGTTATGGAGGTCACTGAAGACATGTCAGGGATGCTAATTAATTAAAAGAATTTCTGTATAATTTTGTTTATTGTCAGTCTGGGTTCAGAATTTACTCTCTCTTCTTTAATCTTAACAAGTGGTGTTTCATTTTTAATGTTCCAGACAGCAGTTTTTTTTTCTAGAAATCTAGCTATCTAGCCATTCTTATTACTCATGGCTTCATTATCAGTTTGTTTTTCTGCTCATTACTGGCACTGACCTTGCCAGGAGATAAGTACATGCATAATTTTACTCATGCAATTAGACTCATTAAAGCTAATGGGATTAGTCAAAAAGTAAAGATACTTTTGCTTAAGTGTTTGTTATTTGAGGTGGTGTGACTAGAAACAACATCAGGAAAGTCTGGAAGGAATTCCAACTGAACACTGATTTTCATTATAAGTCATATAAAGAGATTCAATCATTTCTCCTTTGGCCCACCCCGATGGGTGATGAGCCCAAGGTGGTTTCACACTGGAGGTGAACAGGGATTTTCTAACATTGTTTTTTCTTAAGAATATGGGGGCTTCAAACTGAAGCTGGTCTCAGCAAACTCGGTGAGGTCATTTCTCGAGTCTAGGATGAATGAAAGGTAATGAGAAATACACATCTCAGTCAGTGGCCCAGCAGCAGAGGTTGACTGTAACGTTACAGCAGTGTCAAGGTGCTGCAACCTGGGAGACTTCAGGTCTCCCCAGAATATTTCATTAACATGGGGAGTGAGAGAGGGGCAAACTGAGGTCAGGTTTCCCCTGCACAGAAAGGAGATTGCTCTGAATGAAGCAATGTAAAGGTGTCTGCTGTCTCAGGAGAATGGTCTAGCAGTTTGGATGTGGCTTTATAGATTGTGGGTCTTGTGTGTGATATTTTCAAGAGGTGTTTATGCCGGTGTAGAGTGGAGGAAAAGCCTAAAGAGGTTTTGTGGAAAAAGAAATGCATTTCCTTGCCATTATTCCTGCTGTACCATTGTTCCTCATTTCGAGCACTGCAGGTTTGCCTTTCTTTGACCTGCTGGCTGAAAGCCTCGCAGAAGCATTATAGCAGCCAGAAATACAATGTTCAGAGCGCAGCTGGTTTTCAGCCCCTTTCTTCGATAGCTTTCTCGGCTAGGGTTGGGAGAGGAGGGACAGGGAGCAGTTACTCCCTCCATCCCAAGGAAGTTCCCTTCTGGACCATCAGGACAATTTAATGGCAATTGGTAGCACAGGCCAAACATACATTGGATGATTATTAACTCCAACACAAAATAATTTGTCATTTTTGACCTCTGATGAGATGCCCCATATACAATGACTTATAAAGAATCTGGCCTCTCACTTACAAAATTAAATACTAACTGCTCTGCTATAATTCTGAAGCAATAAATTTCCCATGGCCTTGAAAAAAAAAAAACATCACTTGTGGACTTTCACCTATTTTATACCTTCCTGCCAAAGAAACACTTGGTTTTGTCCCTGATAAAAACGAATACGAATGACAATGAAAACTTACTAAAGCTACAGTAAAGGCTATTTGTAGTCTAAACATTAAAATTCTTAGTTAATACTGATTCCTGTACCCTGGCCTTTTCTGGGTAGAGGTTAAAAAACAGCAAATCTACCACTATCTAGCGTAACATTGGGGGTGGTGTATTTTTAAGTATTACTCATTTTTCTCTAGGAAAGCAACTGATCTGTGCCCCAACGCACACAGTTTTATTAACATTGGAAAGAGCCATGTGGTGTTCATATAGTGTTTAATCTCAATGAAATCTCAGCACCCAAGGTTTTCTGATTAATGGCAGAGGAGGAAGACTGGAGTGACAGTTAGGGTTTCGCCAGGTCGTACTGTATATACAGCTGTTGCTGCTCAGGGGAGGGAAATGCAGGGTCTGGCTGTCTATTCCAGACAAAAAGAAATGGCACATGCTATTACTTCCAGATCATTGCAGTCCCTGCACCACCATCTGCTGGGGGTCAGAGCAGTTGTCCGGGTCGGCGTCAGTCATGCACAAACTCAATGCTTTCCACTGAGCTGCACCCAGCAGTACATATTTACAAGAACAATAAAGCAAACCTGCTCCCTGGACACAGGCACCACAATGCTCCGTCACATTGGGAACAAAGGAGCACAACGAAAGTTGATATGCATTACAAAGGAGATTCTCAGGGATCACAGCTTTGTGATTTCAGGCCATAACACAAATTGAAGGGAAGAAAAACTGTCACCAATAAGCCCAAACCTAGTGATCATTGTATTTATAATTGACATAGCATCGCTAAAAGGGTGCCTCAGTTTCTGTTTCCTCTTCTCCTGTTTTCAGAGTTCTCTCTAGAAGATAGTTAAATGGCAAAGGCTCAGGTTATTAATGTTAAACACTTGGATACACTGTTCTGTAACAGCAGCAAGATGATCTCTGCCACTTATCCCAGCTTGTCTGAGCGTTATCTCTTTTTACAGGGCTTATGCCATGTGCTGGAGTGAGGTGCAGAGAGCCCCGACTGACATAAACTGAACAGTTCCTGGAAACAGGATGAGTACAACTGTGTCACTGTGTTATTGAAACCAAATGAGCAGTTTTAGCATCTCTTCATCCCAAACAACTAGTGAGTAATTAATTTCTTCTGCTAAGAACAGCCTCTTCAACACCACCAATGTGACATGTCAGGCATTACTGCAGGGTACTTCAAACCTTCCACTAGTGCTGTCCTGCACCTTGGCTGAACATGCGTACACAGACATGACACCTTCCGTGCCTAGAACTGGAGATGTCTCTCCTTGCTGTATATTAAGGCACAGAGGTAAAGTGCAAGTTTTCTTTTTGATCTGGGTTAGCCTGCTGCAGAGCTAAGTCCAGTGTTTCAGTGCTGCATCAAAATGGAACCAGGGGAGCAATGGAGCTCAGTGCAGAGACATATGCATTACTCGGGACAAACTCAGCAGAATTCAGCTGAGGTTATTAGTTTTGTCTCAGCATCAGCACTGTTAAAATAGGCAGCAGTGCCAGCATGGGGTGAGAGAAATGGGTAGCAGCCCTGGAAAGCTATGAAAAGGGCAGGTGGAGCTGGACCCAGAACATTTTTTATGGGAGGCTCACTTCCAAATAGCTAGAAGCCATGTGTACTAGCAAAAACACATGAAGGACTGCTATACTCCCTGCCCCACATAGCTGCAGTGTCTGTCACATCCCTTCTGCATACATAATCTCCACATACATAATCTTTGACATTTCATCTGGTAATTAGTGGTTTTGGCGCAAGTAAACCCAATCTTGTTAGGTCCTATCCTCAGTTGCTTTTTACTAAGCTCCGCTCTGGGCATTTTTGCATAAAGCCTCTCCAGTCCATGTAATATTTGACAGCTTTCTCAGATACTTTGCCTGAAACATAACATGGAAGAAGAGACCTCCAGGTAGCTGCACCCACATGCCTTCCCGGCTCCACCTCCCTTGCCTTGCTGGCATAAGGACGCACCAGCAGCCAGAGCCGCAGAGCTGGTTCTGGAGCCTGCAGGGACATGTAAAGCAGCCTTTGCATGTTCCCTTGGAAAACATCACCAGGTTCAGTTACACATTTGTACTTGGAGGGCACTAGCCCTGAGCATTCAGCACAGACCTTATCTACACAGGTTTGACCTGCAGTTAGGCAGCCTTTCAGTGCCAGATCAGAACTAAAAGGATTTTTTTTCTTTTTTAACAGTCAAGTGTTGTGGAACTGAGTTTGAAGCAAAAACTTGCAGAAGAGTAGTCAGTGTTTAGTTTAGATAATTCCTAAAATGTATGTGAAGTGTAAATTACTTGATGTTTCTAATTTAGGAGAGGGGAAGGCAGGCGATGGGAAGCTGGCAAAGTGGCTCTGTCAGGACACTAGTAGTAAAATGAAATGATAAAGATCCTTTAACCCCTAGGTAATTGATGTAAATCTGTCTTCAAACACGTAGGGACTGAAAGTCATTCCTGAAATTATTCCAAGAGAAGTGGTATGTTGTCCTGTGTCTCTAGTCTGTAATAGACACGTGCTACATTGTGAAAATCATCCCTTTTGGTGCTTGCACCTGTGTTTGAGGCTTTGTTCTGACAGCCAGTGACTAGATTAGCATGGGGAATAGACTGGGTTTCTCAGTCATCTTTCTGGACACAGTTCAGACATGCTCTTCAAATGATGCTGGGGAAATTTAGGACTGGTTTCATGTGTTCTGCAGATAAATAAAGGACTTCTATATTCAGGAGATATTTTACAAGTCCTGTGTTCACTCACAAAAGTAAAATACAAGAATAGATACATTCTGCCTAATAAAATTAATTTTCCTGATAAAAATAAAGCCTTTACTGCATGAGCAGTGGAACAACTATGTTAATTGTAGTTCCATGGCATGTTCCTGATAAAGCATGCTCTTGTTGATGGAATACTCCCTCCTCATCAAACATAATCTGTCATTCTTAAAAGAAATGGTGCCCTGGATAAATTGTATTCTTCTGCTTTGTAAATCTGCCAGTTTGTGAACAAATTGCCTAGTTGAAATGAATTTTTATAGTGTCTGGACCAATTAGGCATAAAGCTTAGGAATCTAAAGTTGAAACCACACGACGTCCAGAGGCTGCACTGGAAACTTTTTGTTTAGGTACTTAGGTGGGAGATGAGCTGTTGGGAAACCTAGGCCAGAATAACAGTTTTACTTTTTATAATGCCTCTTTACTTCATCAACATCACCCTTTGTCTCTGAGGTAAATGTGTTTTTGCAAAGACCAGTTCTGTGAGTTACCAGATCTCTGGGCAGTACAAATTCAGTCCACATCAGGCACAATGAAACATATCTTGCATCAGCCAGAGCACATAATACATACACATATTGGCTGTTTATGCCAGCTTTATTCTTTATGCTGCCTCAATGACAACCATGTGAGAAAAGTCATATTTGGTCAACCCCAAATTGCACAGAGGCAAGGTTTTACCTTTTGAAGAAATTGAGCAATTACCTTGAGCTGTACCAGTTGAGCACATTGCATCAAGAGGTGGTGACATTTCTGATCTGGGATTAACCGCTGTAACTTCAGATTTATGGCCTGGTTGAGGAGCCTTGGCCTGATTTTTACCCCTAAACCACTTATATTCAGTTTCTTAATGTATCTAGCTTGAACTCATTTACAGATGTACTAACCTGTCTTCTTCCAAGTATTTTCTCTGAATTGCTTCTGCAGTAACATCTGCCAGTTTCTAATGCCAAATAAATGACCATTTGGAAATAATGGATTCCTGAAATACAATTATGTAGCTTTATGAAAGCAATATTTTAGTGATTTGCAGCTGGCCTAGGGCACATATATGGTTATTGTGGACTTCCGTTGCTTTTGTCCTCCATCCCTTCTTACTGCTTCCTCTGCCCACTTACAACATTGTATTTTTGCCCCTTGAATTTGCCTGATTGAATAAGTCTTCACAGTAGTGTTTCCTAAGCATATAACGCAGGAGGTTCCCCAAGAATATTGAACATGCTTAAAACTTCAGGAGGGAGAAAAAGATATTCAGAACTTTTAATGTATAAATATATTTGTTCCCATTGTTTATGGTGTTACTCTTCATTGTTATAGAAATCTTCTGAAGGGATTATTGAGTGTTGTCTTGATTTAATAAACTTAGTAAGCTTTTGTTTTGTCTTGTTATGTTGGACATACAAGAGTAGCTGACATTACTCTGTTCTGCTTGCACCTTTTAAACCACTGCACTGTGTTAATGGCTGAGCAGCTTATCACTGAGTGACAGAACTGTGCTTGCTCAGCTTAAATACTGCTGCAAAAGTAGCACAAAAGAAAATGGTGTCTTTAAGGTCCTCTTTCTTAATCTCTAACTAAACTGGAGTAGTGGATTAGAAAGAGATGAGTCAGAGAGCAAAATCATAGAAATGAAGGAAAAAGAAGTGGAAAGGCAAAGGGAGAGACTGTTTCTTCAGTGAATAGAGAGAGGGATGGCTGAGCAGACAGCATCAAATTGCTCCCAGTCTCTGTTCTGGCACTTGCGGGTCTATTGAAAATAGTCCAGAAGGACATGCTGAATTTGTTGCTCCCGTGTGCCAGCCTTTTCTGCAGCAGCGAGAGAAACCAATCAGTGCTGCTTCAAAAGCAGCTGGAAACTTAGAAAACCCTGCTCCCCTGCTGCCTGGCAAGCAGCAGTACAGGGTCTTCTCAGTTTCCAGCTACTACAGAGGCTCCATTGACAAAATGTGTGTGGCATTTGAAGTAGCACAATGTGACAATGAAAGAACCTGAGGGAGACAAAATAAGGGGGAGAAAAGAGGGAAGGAGAATTAAATGGGAATGAGGGAGCAAGCCTACGGCAGGAGGACAGAAATAAAAAGAAAAATATGCTAATCACTGCAGAAGGGGTCATAAAAATAAATCATCATTGTCATATTTGACACCTCTGCACTGCTTTTTCAAAGAATATAGTTGTAATAGCAAGACTCAAGAAAACAAAGTAAGAGTTTACTAATATTTGCTCTCACCGCCTGAGATACAGACGTGCTTACTTTAGCCGCTGCTTTCACTAACACGAAGTACAGGGTAACTGAAAGATGCCAGGTCCCACACCAGGGACCATGTGATGCTGCGAACTGGACAGTTGACATCCTCACCCTCTGTTTCACAGAGAAGCAGAAGGAGCCAGGAGGATGGTGTGTCTTACTGTTGCTCTGAACAACAGGGAGAAAAAACAAATGCTACCAGAAAGAAGCCATGAGCTGGCTCATCTTCTCCTTTCCCTTATACTTTATTGTATCACCTATGAGAGCACACAGGACAGGGGAAACCAGAGTATCGCCAATATCTCAGACCAAAGTAGCATTGCTAGGATTTTTGTCTTTTACCACTATCTACTTGGCCATATGGTGGGAGTTCTGAGAGGGACATCCAAGAGTTCAGGGTACTGTGGTACCTTTTCATACCCCACTTGTGGTGCTAGTTCATGGTGAAGTGTGGTCTGGAAATGCAAGAGCTGAATTTTGTTACAAAACAACTAAACTGGAAGGAGCTCCACAAATGTCCTCACATGGCTCATGGCCTTTCAGTCCAGAGGTCCAGCTCAAGCTACTTCAAATTACAATCTACTGAAACTTATACAGGGTGAACACAGGGTCATCACCCAACAGTTTCACTCCAGGTAGCAGCTTTTTCTGGAAATAGCACAGTAAAGTAGACATGCAGAAGAGAATATTGCTTGAAAGAACATTAACATTTACAGATTTTCTGGGAATTCTTGGTACTTTCTGAAAGGTCAGCAATGTGCACTATAAAAACTGAGACAGAAAAATAGAAACACCGTTGTTCAAGAAACAATATCCACCAGGAGCCGAGAAGGGAGTAAATGCTGTATTGCCAAAGTTGGAAGTGGGTGAGCTCAATTTAACCTGTATTTGCTTTTCAGCATGCTGCTGTCATCATCTTAAACTTTCTTTCTAACCAAAGGAAGGCTCCTGTCCTGGTGACAGGAGTTTTGAATTTAATAAAGTCTTCTTTAAAAAATCCCAGTTATCATTCAGGTTTAAAATAAAATGCTTCCATGTGCTCTGTTAGGTTGGCAGTTACTTTCAGTCTTGAGAAATTACTCCTCTAGTT